TCAGGCATTTTATCGCAGCAACAAGAAAAGTGACTAATAAAAACTTGTAATTTTATATCTTATAGAGTTTATAATGAGTAAAAGGTTGTACAAGTGTAATAATTCATCTGTAAACCTAAAAATATACAGCCAATTTTAAAAGAGATGTACCCTAGCTCAGAAAAATGTTATTGAATAGGTTAATGCTGTTGTAATGAAATGCTTCTTCTAATTAAAAAAAAAAACAAAAAATTTATAGCACATGTGGTGGTGCATGTCTACAATCCCCAGCACTCAGGAAGCTGAGGAAGGAGAATCATAAGTTTGAGGCAGTCTGGAATACATAGTGACTTCCAGGTCAGCCTGAGATACAGCCAGATCCTATCTCAAAAATTAAAAAAATATAACTGACTATTCTCTTGTTAATGTATATGTGTTCTATTCTCTTATTATTCTGTCTTTTACCAAATGTGTGGGAATTTTTGCCACATCAAGTAATTCTCTGCTTTGGTAGGATACCAAATAGGTGTCCTACAATTCAGTTCTGACACTGGGAGTCAGCACAGACCCCACAGGTTTAAGAATTGTTCCCAGAAGACTGCCCTCCAAAACACTTCAGGTTCAATCATAAGTTCAGGGTATCACCTGAGTTTTTCACCAACTAGTCATAAATCAGAGGGTCCCATGACCTATGTGTCAAGCAGAACTGTGGTATATGTACATATATGTACCTCTATTAATACATGTTTATGCAGACATATATAACCATACATAAAAGCATTGTGGGGATGGAGAGATGGCTCAGTGGCTAAGAACGCTTCCTGCTCTTACAGAGCACCCAAGTTTGGTTCCCAGCACCCACACTGGGCAGCTCACAATGGCCTGTAACTCCAGCTCCAAGGGCTCCGACACCCTCTTCTGGCCTCTTGAGAGCATCTGCACTCACATGCACATGCCCCCCACACACATAATTTAAAAAATAAAAGTATGGCTGGAGAGATGGCTTAGCAGTTAAATAGAGTTTAACTGGAATATATATGTGTGTGTGTGTGTGCGCGCGCGCATATATACACACATATATATATTTGGAGTTCTGAGAATGGAATCTAAGGTCCCAAACATGATGGGCAAATTCTCTACCACTGAGCTACATCCCCATCCCAAGAAGTATATTGACCTTGAGTTTTTGATCCTCCTGCCATTGCCTCTGAAGTGCATGTGCACAGCTCCCCATTTATGCACTGCCAGGTATCGAATCCATGTGCTTGTGCCTGGTAGGCCAGCACTTTACCGTCTGAGCTACATTCCCAGCCCTATGATTTATCTTCCCCCTGGAAAATTATCTCTGGGATTTCCTCAAGGTGTGATCCTCCAGAAAGGATGTGCTTTCTTTGCTTGGGTTTACTACTGGCTGAGGTCGATTTGGGGTACTGGCCTGTGTAAAGGTGTTTGTTTGGTTATGATCTCAGGAACTGCTTCTTCTTTTGCCTTTTAAAAAAAAGATTTCTTCTGTGAGTATGCACACTTGAGTGCAAGTCCCCTGCCTTTCCACTCAGTGCTTTAGCAACTTTCCTTAGTCCACAGGAGGAAAGGGCAGGAGGTGTTTTGGGTTTACCTTGCACAGAGGGTATAGTACCCAAGGTCTTAATCAAGTGTTCTTTAGAGCCATACTTTTACAGGACCATAAGCTTTCTGTATCACCCCAATCACTACTGCACAGTGAAACTAAATATCCTTCTGGCCTCTTGCCTAATTCCTTAAGTGCTGGGAAGGAGCCTAAGGAATCTCTGGTTGTTAAGAAGATTCTCTACATAGCCTAGCCTGTGGACTTACTGAAATCAGAGCTGCTTTGAAGTAGTTTATATAATATGAAACTATTTGTTCCTTGATAGTTTGGAAAAACCTCCATCTAACCATCCGAGCCACGTATGTTTCCTTAGTACTCTGTCACTGACCTTTTGATTAGTGGTTGATTGGGTTTTAAATCTCATAGAATTATCCTGTGTATCTAGATCTGTGCTGTCCAATATGGCAGCCCCTAGCACTCTGTAGTGTCCAGCACTTAAATACTAGTCCAAACCAGATGGGGGTAAAGTGTAAGACACACACTGGATTTTTATTTTTAAATTTTCAATTTACATTTACCTATTGCTGTGTACACATGTGGTGCTTGTGTGGAGATCAGAGAACAATTTACATTAGTTCTCTCCTTCTACCACATTGGTTCCACAGACAGAACTCAGGCTGTCAGGCTTGGCAGCAAGCCGCTTTACTCATTGAGCCATCTCACCAGCCCATGGACCTTTTTTTTTTTCTTTTCTTTTTTTTTTTTTAAATACTCAGCATGTAAAGGTGCTTGCTGTTAAGTCTGATGACCTGAATTTGTTCCCCCGGACCTACATGGTAGAAGGAGAGAACAGATTACCATATGTTGTCTTCTGACCTCTACATACATGCTATAGCATGCACACACATACACACACATGCACAATAAATAAAATGTAAGAAATAAAGATTAAAACTGAAATAATACTTAGGCCAGCAAGATGGCCCAGTGGGTAAAAGTGCTTGCTGAACAAGCCTGACAATCCACACTGGATCTCTGAAACCCACAAAGAGCTGGATGAAATGACTGGCATCTGAAATCTCAGCACTCCTACAGTGATGTGTGAGGCAGAGGCCGGAGAACGGACCAGAAGCTCACAAGCCAGCTAGCTTGGAGTACACAGCACAGAGACAAGAGAGACCCTGTCTCAATAAGGTGAAAGGAGAAAATGGACTCCTCAAAGTTGTCCTCTAACCTCCACTTATGTGCCTTGGCATACCTACCACATACACACATCATATATACACACATGTAATAAAAAAGTTTAAAATCACAAATTATAAGAAACATACAAGCTGGAAAACCAAAGATGTTTATGAAACATTATAAATGTTATGTAGATCTGCTTGGATTCCCAACTTGAAGTGGTCTTCAGACTTTTATGAAACAATCAGAGAAACTGAATGCCAACTTGATATTGATGCTGTTAGGGATAATCACCTTCAAGTCCGAGAATGGTAAGCAGCCATGCTTTTAGGAAGACACTATCTATCTATCTATCATCTATCTATCTATCTATCATCTATCTATCTATCTATCTATCATCTATCTATCTATCTACTCAAATATTTGCATAGAAGCTGGTTTGTCTAGAATTAGCTTCCAAATAACCCAGGAATGGTGACAGTGGGAAATGAGTGTAAATGCACTGAGATTGGCCTGGATAGATCACTGTTGACCTGAGCAACAAGTGCGTAGACCTTGGTCATACTAATTTGCTGACTGACCTTTGGGTTGGTTTAAAATAATCCATAATAAAAACAAACCAAAGAAAAACACTCTTGATTATGCTAAGAAGGTGCCCAGCTTTGCTGGCTTACTCACTACACTTTGGCCTTTTAAAAATTCCTTTTGAGCTAGGTGTGGTGGGGCACACCTTACTCTCAGCACTCTGGCATGCGGATCTCTGATTTTGAGGCCAGCCTGTTCTACAGAGTTCAGGCCAGCCAGGGCTACACAGTGAGACCCTTTCTACAAGTAAATAGAAGAGAACAAAAATTCCTTCTCTTCGGCTTTATTTTAACACACTTGTTCTGGGATCTTTCAGCACTTGTGTGCGTTTCCATTTTTCTTCCTAATAAACACATCTCCGCTATGACAACTCCAGGAACCACTTTGGCAGTCAGCTCAGTTTTCGTACATGGCACTCTCCTCATCTGAGCTACGAGATTTCCAATTAGAATGGACAAGAAATCACAGTGAACATCGATGGCGAAGCTGGAGAACTGGGAGGAGCCATTCCATCCTTGCTGGCTGTTGCCCCTGACAATCCTTTCAGGGACCATCTGGCATTCTAGTTCCAAGGCAGAATTCTCCATTCATCTCAGGTTGCCAGAGCCTCTGGCTCAAGGTATACCACGATGAAACTGAAGCAAGGATCATTTCTGTGGTACCTCTACCTGGACAAAATTTACTGCTTATTATCTGTGAGAAATGTGAAGGCCCTGATGGAATACTTCCACATTCTCGATGCACACCGTAGGAACACCATGAATGGTCAGTCCTTCCCTCTAACAACCAGAAACTTTGGTTACAAACATTTATTTCATCTTGTAAATGAAGGCTGGAGAGAAGCTGCAAAAAGAGCAGAGACGAGGTGGTACAGTGGGGCGGGTAACACTGCAGGCTCTGGGGGGCAGGCTCGGCTCTGCCCGCTATTCCTTGTGATTCAGGCAACTTGTCATCTCCTCCTTGAGGCTGTTTCCTCATCTAGAAATGATGAAGTCCAGGGTTGTTGCTCAGTGATAAACAGGTCCTGACATTCGTAGTAAGGAATGTGTTTTTTCTTTTTAAATTTTTCTGAGACGGTCTCACTCTGCAGCCCACATTGACCAGTAACTCACTATGTAGCCCTTCCTAGCTGGCCTTGAACTCTGACAATCTTCCTGCCTCAGTCTCCCAAGTGCTAGAATTATAACTATGAGTTGCTATGACTGGTTTCTAAGTGTTTATTTTTTTGAAACAAGGTCTCATGTAGCCCAGGATGACTTCAAACTTTCTTTTTTAAAATATAAGACCAAAGAAAAATTTTATTATTTTTATTTTTTATGTGTATGTGTGTTATGCCTGCATGTAAGTAAGTACACCCGTGTTGTGCAATGTCCATGGAGGATAGAACAAACTGTTGGATCCTCTGGAACTGGAGTTACAGACGGACAGTTGTTAGCTGCCATGTGGGTGCTGGTATTCGAACCTGGGTCTTCTGCAAGAACAGTCAGTGTGTTCTTAACTGCTGAGCCCTCTCTCCAGGCTGTACTTCAAACTTTCTATGGAGTCGAGAATGACCTTGAACTTCTGCCGCTCCTGCCTCAGCCTCCCCAATGCTGGGATCCCAGGCTTGCCCCACCAAACATGGTTATTTTATTTTTAAACATTTTTCTACATTGTGCGTGTGTGTGTGTGTGTGTGTGTGTGTGTGTGTGTGACCGTGCTTGTGTGGAGGTCAGAGGACAACTTGCAGGAGTTGTAGGAATTGGGTCTCTCCACCATGTAAATCCTGAGATCAAACTCAGGTTCTCAGGCTTGGTGGCAAGAGCTTTTACGGGCTGAGACATCTCTCCAGCTGTGGTTTTTATAATGCGTGAGTGTGGTGTGTGTGTGTGTGTGTAGAAGCCAGAGGACAACCTTGGGTGTTGTTCCTCAGAAGTCATCTCCTTTTTTTGAAACAGGGTGTCTCATTGGTTTGGAGCTCTCAGAGTGGCTAGGCTGGCTGGCCAACGAGTCCCAGGGATCCACCTCTCTCTGCCTCCCTGGCGCTGGGATTACACACCCAGTATTTTTTTTGTTTGTTTATTTGTTTGTTTTTTGTCTTTTTGAGATAGGGTCTCCCTGTAGCCCCAGCTCACTATGTAGACCAGGCTGGCCTTGAACTCACAGAGATCCACCTGCCTCTACCTCCCAAGTACACGGACCACCACGCCCGGCTCACACACCCAGGTTTTTTATCCAAACTCTAGGGATTGAACTGTGGTCCTTGTGCTTGCTCTGCAAACACTTTATTGACTGAGCTAGCCCCCAGGCCAAAACCTGTGGGTCACAAGATCTGTGTGGTCTCTTGGTTTTTGTTGTTTCAGCTTTTTTTTCTTTTCCTTCAGAAAAAAAAAGATTAAATTGGGTTGTGGACAGGTGGCACCAGGGGTTAAAGCACTTGCTGAATAAGAGTGAGGACGGGAGTTTGGATTCCCAGAAACCCACAGAATGCCAGTGGGCATGGTGGCCCACCTATAATTCTAGCCTCAGAAGGCGTAGACAGGTCCCCTGAGCAAGCTGACTGGCAAGACTAGCCCTATCTGCAAGCTCTGGGTTTGATTGAGAGACTGCCTCACTGAATACAGAAGAGCAATGGAGGATGGTTTGCAACGTCAATCTAAGGCCTCCATGTGCATAAGTATTCACGCATGCAAAAACATACATATTCACACATGATATACACATGAAAAATGTAAAAAAGGAAAAAAATTAAATTAGTTTTCTGACAGTTTCACACTTGTATATAATATATTCTGATTCCTCTCACCCCCTCACTGTCTTATCTCCCTTCCACCTGTCACCCCCTTCCTACAGGTGCTTTCCCCACATTCACACCTTTTTGTTTTGTGACCCACTGATTTTAACCAGGGTTGTCTGTGTCCAATGGTACTTTTGACTCAAAATGCTGGTCACCAGTTCTATCACTGAGCCTATAAACTAGCAGTTCAGGTGAAACCCCCTTGGTTCTTTCAAAGCTTCAGTATAAATAAGGTATTCTACTGGCTCACATCAGAGAGGAAATGTCACAGTGAAGAAGGATCCTTCCATAAACATTTTTCTTGAGATGGGGGGGGGTCTCTGTAGCCCTGGCTGGCTTAGAACTCACTATATAGACCAGGCTGGCCTCAAACTCATAGAGATCCTCCTGCCTCTGCCTCCTAAATGCTGGGATTAAAGGTATGCTATCAACCCACACCCTTCCAAAAAGATTTTTAAGAGTCTAGTCTGTCTTAAAAAAATGAACAGTGCCAGGCCTGGTAGTACACGCCTAATTGAATCCCACCACTCAGGAGGCTGAGGCAGGCAGATCTCTGTAAGTTCAAGACCACCCTGGTCTACATAGGGAGTTCCAGACCAGCTGGGGCTACAGGGAGACCCTGTCTCAAAACAAAAACAAACAACAACAACAACAAAAAAAACAAAACAGTAACACCAGGCTTGGTAGCAAGTGCCTAAATCCCAGCCCTTGGGAGGCAGAGGTAGGTGGATCTCTTTGAGATCAAGGCCACCCTGGGTCTTGACATCATGACTTCCAGGCAGGTTGTGACTAGGGAGATCCTATCCAAAAAAAAATCAACAAAAACCCAAACCAAACAAAAAACGCAGTAAAGAGGCTAGATCCAGCTGGACATGGTGACACACGCCTTTAATTCCAGCACTCCAGAAGCAGAGGCAGGAGGGTCTCTGTGAGTTCAAGGCCAGCCTGGTCTACATAATGAGTTTCAGGCCAGCTGGAGCTACAGGGAGACCCTGTGTCAAAAAGACTGCCCCTGCCCCCCCAAAAAAGAGGCTGGAGATATAACTTAGTAGTAGACATATATTTAGCATGGATTTGAGCTCCAACACCAAAAAGAATAAAAGCAAAAGCAATAAAAATGTCACCCACTTTTCTTCACAATGTTGTACCTCACTCTGCTACTTTGCAGAGATTTATTTACACACGGTGTGATACCAAACCTTCCCCCGCCCTGGCCCAGATAAGGCAGCTAGCTGCAGGACACAGGCTGTACCTCAGAAAACTGAGCTCCTGTAGGACCCCCAGGCTGGGGTACCCAAAGTCCACGGGAGGCCACACCCCAATAACTCAGTCCTCAGACCAGGAGATGTGACAAGCAAGAGGATTTAATCGTTTGCGCAGACGGGCTTCTGCCTCACTGGGGGGCGGGGAGAGAACAGCAGCCCCGAGCTCAGCTTACATGCTACTTTTAAAGGCAAAAACCACAAACCACAACCGGCAGCAGTGGGAGGGGGCCAGCAGCAGGAGGGGGGAAGTTTCGGGTGATGTCCGGCTTGTGTACGAGCATGAAAAGGTCAGCTCTTTCTCAGCAGTTAGAATTATTTTACTTCTTAATTCCTTGTTCTGAATATTTTTCTTTGGTCTGGGGGACTTGGTTTGAATCCACTTTAACCTGGGGGGCTTTAGTTTGATTCCATCATTCCATTTTGGTCTCATTGGGACAGCTGTCCAACAAGGTCTGATCTCCCTAAAATCATTCCCTAATGATGCAATGCCCAGGAGACACAAGCATGCTCCTGTTGCCTGGTCACCAAGGGTGGAAACAGTGACCTGAAAGAGGGAACAGCCTTAGCTTGCTTCTGGGGGAGCAACTTCAGGCTTTGGGGACTTGAGTGGCCGGTCATCTGGCTGCAAAACGGCACTGACTCCATAGCTGCAAAGTCCCACGGTCACGTGTCTCCAGGTGCATCCTGCTAGCTCTGTGTGTACAGTGTGCTGTTCCCAGTGTCACAGCCAGCAGGGCATGCAGAAGTAGTGTGAAGTGATCATCTGGAGCCTCACTCCTGACATTGTGGCCACAGGTTCACTGTGTTCCCAGCTACTTCCTACTGGGAGTCCACTGAATAAGATATGCTTTATATTATCAGTGGGGCCCAGAGATCCATTCTTTTTTTTTTCAATAATTTATTGAGAATTTCATACATGGTGTTTTGATCAAATCCATGCCCACTCCCTCCCCTCCAATGCCTCCCACGCCTTTAATCCCAGCACTTGGGAGGCAGAGGCAGATGGATCTCTATGAGTTCAAGACCAGCCTTGTCTACAAGTGAGTTCCAGGGCAGCTGGGGCTACAGGGAGAACCTGTCTTTAAAAAAAAAAATCTTTAAAACAAACAGAGGTAAAAGGGAAGTCATGCCTGAAAAGCCCTTGTTACCCCTTGTGGTTTTGTACCGTCACAACCTTGGCCCACAGAGTGTGTGACTTCTCAGGTTTAGGACTTGCTGAGAGGTATTCAAAAGTGCTTAACACTGAACAATTCAGGCTCCTTCCCTCCACAGTCAAATGGGTTTGCTTTAAGCAGAACCCCTCAAGAGGACTGATTTTTTTAATGTGGCTTTAAAAAAATTTTTTTATGTATAGGAGTGTACTGCCCACATGTAAGTGCACCAGTGCAATGCCCACGGAGGTCAGAAGAGGTTGTTGGATCCTCTAGAGGTGGAGTTATTGACAGTTGTTAGCTGCCATGTGGGTGCTGGGAACCAAACCCAGGTCCTCTGCAAGAGCAGTCAGTGCTCTTAACTGCTGAGCCATGTCTCCAGCCCTGATTTTTAAATTTCTCATTCTGATTATCTCAAGGGAAAAGCCAGGATAAAATGTTAGCATTTTAAACAAGGTGCCCTTTGTCCCCAGGGAGAAGGAAGCTCTCCCCTTCTATAGTAAGTGCACCCCATGTTTGTGTTGCCACTCTTCAGCCCCTTGTCTCACTGGTGATATGTGCATGATCATCTGCTCTGTGGGACATGTGATGGATAGCGTTAGTTATCAACTTGACACATCTGGGTAGAAGGAGCCTCAATTGGTGAATTGTCTCCATTGGATTGGCCTGTGGTCAGGTCTGCAGGGCATCTTCTTGATTACTGAGTGATGTGGGAGGGCCCAGCCCACTGTGGGTGGTGCCACTCCTGGGCAAGTGGGCCTGTGTTGTATAAGAAAGCAGGTTGAACATGGCCCACAGGAGCAAGCCAGTAAGCAGCATTCCTCCATGGCTTGTGCTCCAGCTCCTGCCCCAGGTTCCTGCCGAGTTGCTTCCTACCTTGGGCTCCCTGATGAAATGTGACCTGGGAGATGTAAGCCAAATAAACCCTTTCCTCCCCAGGTTGGTATTGGTCAGAGTGTTTTGTCACAGCAGTGGAGAAAACTAGAACAGAGCATGCGACTGGGGTCAAGAGCTAGGTACTAACCACCACCAAGTTGTCTGGTAATGTGAGCCAACTGGCCATTCTGTCTCCACAACTAGGGCACACTGCTTTTTCAAAGGCTTGAGGACTTCTGGAAGGTCCGGTGTGAAGCCAAAAACAAAGAGTGTCTTTCATCCTAGGACAGTAAGCTTCCAACATGGCTACCATTTTTATGTGATTCCTAGTTGATAAGTTTTTGGAACGGTTCCAGAATAATCCATTTCAGCTCCCTCTTCACAGATGTGCTGTTCTATCACTTCCTCCATCATGTGACTAACTTGAAAACCATACAGATCAAGGTTATATTTGACATGCTGGACTGGACGGCTATGGGTGAGATCAGTTTTGACCGGTTCTATGTGTTGGTTTGCATACTGCTGACACACCAGGCAAGTACCAGGTTTGGATCTGGGGCGGAGTAAGGTGTGCTGGGCTGCTGCCCCCATCTTGCTAAAGCAGAGTTGAAGCAGGAGTATAGAGGGATGCTTTTCCCTTCACTACAAACAAACGCAAGATTAACATTAGGTTCCTGAATGCGCATCATTCACAGCTTGACATTTCAATCCCTTGCCAGCTTCTCCCACTGCAGCCCCAACACTTTGGCCCTCCCATACTACCTTTCCTCATAAGGAAAAGGTTGCCCCTTTCTTGGCTGGCCTGTCTTCAAATGGATTGATGATTTTCAAAGCACCATCAGTAACCCTGAGTGCCTCACTCCTGCCCTGGTTTTTTGGCTCTGGGAATTTTGTGCAGAGGCTGACTGAAAGAGATGGGAAGCATTCTTTGGGTTCCTTCCTCACCCCTAGACATTGGCCATGTAGCTACCTGCTTCTACTCCTTGAGGAAAGGGATCTTGTGTGATCAGCAAGGTCAATGTTTCCTGAGACCTTCACTGAGGGAATACATGATGACCAGTGTTGTGAAGGAGAACTGATCCCTGGAGGATCACAGGGGAGACATGGGTTCATGAGGGCCTTTTCCCCAAGTCTATGATTTTGCCTCTTGCTTTGAGCTCTCCAGATAATGGCTGGTGACTATGCAAACCTTACTGTAACAAATTTACAGGGCAATACCAATATTCTTCCTAGTCTTACACATTTCTCTCAATAGAACCACCTGGAAGATCAATTTATGTATCGCCATTCCCGACTTGTTTTTGACTTGCTTGACCTGGATGGGGAGCTGAAAATTGGTGCAGCTAACTTCCACATGTACAGATTTCTCTTTAATATTAAAAAACAGGAACTTCGAGAGCTCTTCCATGACTTTGACATCACAGGTGACCGAGTAAGTGCAGATCCACAAAGCCAGGCACATGGCAGACAGCAAAGTCCTATTACCAATGGTGGAGATGGGTGAGGAGACAGGAGAAACTCATACAAACCCACCTTATGGGCTGTGACCAGGAAACAGCTCAAGAGACAGATGGGCCCTGGAAGAGAAAGGACCAGCTAAGGGCTACATCGTGTGATGTGGATATATAATTACAGAGGTTTAGAGGAGGAGACAGAATAACATGGTGATAACATGGTAGTCAGGGAAGGTTTATAGATTTGAATAAGCAGAAATAGAAATTCTATGATGGAACCATGTGAGCAGCAAAATTCTGAAGGTGTTACAGGGAGGGTGACACCTTGTACAGGTGTGAAGGGGGATCAGGGGACCACACTTGGACCACACTGGGAGGAGCGAGAGATGGTCGCTTGAAGCATCTGGACTTGGCATGAGACACACCAGAGTGACCCTGTCCCCATGGTCTGCAGCAGACTTTGAGTTCTCCTAGGACTCAATTAGACTATAGCTCTGTCCTTGGGACTGAGCCTCTTAAGTCCCAAGTATCTAATAAGGAATGGTTACAACCATAATGTCATCTTTACCAAAGTGTCAAATCCTTATGGACATTTCTCTTTTTTCTCTCAACAAAAGCTGCTTAATTACAAGGAATTTAAGCTGTATACGATCTTTGCCACTGACAAATCCCTGGATAGGAAGAAAAGGAGGAAAGAGAGACAGGAAGCGAAAGAAAAAGGGAAAGAGAAGTTTCAGCTATTTAAGAAAAGAATGCATTCAGCTAGGACGAGCCAGAAGAGCCTCAACGAACAGCTGTGATCCAGACGTGATGAGCATGATTAATTAAAGTTGTTAAATGGCCACAAATGGATTACTGTAGCAAAGTAGATTATCTGTTTTTTTTTCAAGACAAGGTCTCATATAGTCCATGCTGGCCTTAAAGTCAAATGTAGTTGACTTTGAACTCCTTGATCCTTCTGCTTCTACCTCCCAAGTTCTGGGATTATAATATGCCCCCATACCAGCTATCCAGAGTGTCTTTACACTGGCTTTGTTCCTGAGAGTTTAAATGAGCTCTCATCCATCAACAAGCAGACTCCTATTTTAATGGCATATCCTCACACAGACCTCACAATCATATAATATAGAGTAACTGCTTTCCTTTCTTTTTGTGGTACTTACTGAGTATGAAACTCAAAGCCTCCTGTCTGCCAGGCCAGTGCTCTACCACTGAACTACATCTCCAACCCCAAGCAACCGCTTTCTTTCAACATGGCCCCAATTTTGGGGGGGGGGCAGTCTTTTTGAGACAGAGTCTCACTGCAGCCCCAGCAAGCCTGGAACTAAGTAGATCTCTCTGCCTCTGCCTTTAAAGGTGCTGGGATTAAAGGCATGTGCTACCACAGCAGGCCTCTCAGCAAGGCCGTTTTGCTGTTACTTCTCAGGTCAACCCTGCTCATAGATGCTTGTGTATCAGAATGGCTGCGAACTTACTGGAGCTAAGCACTTGCAAGGTGATGTTTCCTTAGTAATTGTCACCAATGGCCCAATGCTCTCAGGATCCTTTCTAGGCTAAGTGAGACCACCTGGAGCCAGAGACTCATGTTGGCCAATGGTGACAAGGCAGGAGAACTGCAAAGGATGTGGGAGCTGTTTTTTATTTATTTATTTACTTATTTATATTTATTTTGCCCAGGTTGATCTTGAACTTGTGGGACCAAGTGATCCTCCTGCCTCAGCCTTGAGTTACTGCAGGAGTGTGCCACAGTACTGGGGCCAGCTAAGGCTGTGTTTTCCTTAGAACCTGAATTACTCTGGTGAGCTAAGTGCCTAGGCAATGGAATAAAACTTACTAGGGCAAAATAATTATTATGTACCCCTGGACCATTTTAATTTTGTGTAATTAGTATCTTGAATGATTTAAAAACACTTTTGGTATGAGACTTGTGAGTCGCCCTATGGGACTGTATTATGACATCAGTAAATGACAACTATCATAGTCATGTTTGCTGTAGGTGAGGCAATGTTTAGATCAGTGACTATCCTCTTAACCCTGTCAACTAGGTGGTGTAATCCTCAGTTTACAGAGGAGGAAACAGGCCTAGAGAGATTAAGAAACTCACCCAAGGGCTGGAGAGATAGCTCAGTGTTTAAGAGCAATTGTTGCTCTTGCAGAGGACCAGGGTTTAGTTTAATACCCCTATAGTGGCTCACAGACAGTTCCAGGGGATCCAACACCCTCTTTTGGCCTCCACAGGCACTGTACTCCATGTGTGCATACACATACATATAGACAAAATACTCAGACACATAAAATAAAAATTTAAAAACAAAAGAAACTTACCCAAAAACATGCCTCATAGGTGGTAGGGCCAGAATTCAGATTCAAGGTCAATTAAGTATTCCTGTTAGCAGATAGGTTTTTTTCCTTTATTATTTTTATGTGTATGAGTGTATTGCCTGCATGTATGTGAGCGCACCCATGTTGTGCAGTGCCACGGAGGTCAGAAGGCGGCTTCGGATTCCCCTGGAACTGGAGTTAAGGACGGTTCGTAGCCACCATGTGGGTTCTGGGAATTGAACCAGGGTCCTCTGCAAAAGCAGTCAGTGATCTTAACCGCTGAGCCATCACTCTAGCCCAGCAGATAGTTTTTTTTTTATTTCTCTCCCCCTCCTTCCTTTCCTCCCTCCCTCTGTTTATGGCGGGGAGGAGTTGGGGGTGTTTTGTTGAGACACCATCTATGTAGCCAGGTCTTGGCCTTCAGCCTGATTCTCCTGCCTTAGCCTAAGTGCTCTGATCAGGCATGTTCATCATGACGGGCTTCTGTTTAAATTTTTTTCAAAATTATTTTTATTTTACATATATGAGTATGTTGCCTAATGTCCGTAAGCACACCCATGTCATGCAATGCCTGTGGAAGTCAGAAGAGGGACATGGGATCCCCTTGAACTGGAATTATGGATGGTCGTTAGCTGCAATGTGGATGCTGGGACTCAAACCTGGGTCCTCTGCAACAGCAGCCAGTGCTTTTAAGTGCTGAGCCATCTCTCCATACCCATTTGTTTAAATTTTTAAATTTTTTTTTTTTTGAGACAGTGTCTCTCTGTAGCCTCAGCTGGCCTGGAACTTGCTAAGTAGACCAGGCTGGCCTTGAACTCACAGAGATCCGCCTGCCACTGCCTCTCGAGTGCTGGGACTAAAGGCATGTGCTACCATGCCTGACTTCATCTGCTTAAATTTTAAGCTAGCAGATTCATTGGCTCAGAAATCCCTCTGAATAAATACATGTCATTTACTACATAAACCATGGATTTCTTCAGGCTACATCAGAACTAACCTCAAGGCAATCAATTAAGTCAAGAGTACCCAATATCACTGACAATCAAATATGATTATGCTGTCAACTGCAAGACAAGAATGCTTATCTAAGATTGTTATCCCTAAGTCAAACCTGTAATAATAAATATCATATTACTGTGAATGCCTCTCTGCTAAAAGATGTAGGATTTCCTTAGCATGCTTTCAAACATGATTAATGTTAACTGGAAGGCAAAACTTCTCTACAACGGTACCACAAAAGCAGAATGGAACTAGCAAAACCAAACCAGACCAAAACAGCAACTAAGTCACTTAACAGATCTTTTCTACACAGAGATAAAGGTGTCTATTTGGGGACTTAGTTGTGAAGACCCAAAAGGTGCAAAGCATCTCCCAACAGTCATCCTGTCCTTCTGACATGAGGATTATCCTCCCGACACTGCATCTTACTGCAAATAGGCCTGGGCAATACCCAGTATGCAGATCTGCAGCACTCCACAGCAGGAAAACTAGCAGCTGGAGAGCAACTGAGCCAAAGTGCCTCACCACTGAATGAATCTTTTACAGGTCTGGGCTCTTGAGGCAGCACAGATGGTTTTTGTTAGCAGGCAGTTTTAGGATCTAGGTGTGGTTCTGGGGAGACATTACCAAGGTCTTAGGTAAGTTTGTTTCTCCTGTCTCCTGGAGATGGTCTTGAGTTAAAGGGTAATCAAGACCTGTATTCTAGTTTTTCAGACAGCTGCTGAAGCAACTCAAATACTATGTCCCTTATTTAGAATGGGGACAGGGAGGGAAGGGTCAAATAGTATAAAAGACACTGTAGAGGGTTGGGGAAATGGCTCAGTGGTTAAAAGCACTGGTTACTCTTGCAAGGGCCCTGGGTTCGATTCCTGGCACCCACATGGCAGCTAACAGTCATCCATAACTCCAGTTTCAAGGGATCCAACATTTCTTCTGACTTCTGTGGGCACTGCACGACACAGGTACACTTACATATGGGCAATACACTCATACACAATAAAAAAAAAAGTATTTTTTTAAAAAAGACATTGTTGGCTGTTTTTCCCTCTCTAGAAATCAGGGGGACTATCAAAGGAATAACAAACAGGCCATCAGATCAGATCTTTTTCTTACACTTAACTGTATGTATGTATTATGTGTGTGTGCTCTGGCACATGTGGAGGTCAGAGGATAACTTTCGAAAATTGGTTTTCTCCTTCAACATGTGGGTTTTGGGACTCAAACTCAGGTTTGTCAGGCTTGGGGGTAAGAAGTGCCTTTACCTGCTAAGCCACTTTGCCACGCCATCAGATGTATTTTTTTTTTTGGAATGTCTCACACAATAGCCAAACAAACCTTTGCAAAAACAGAAGGTAAGGTAATACTAGTTCTGTGAACTCTTTCTTCTTGTGCAAATCCATAATCTGCCACCAGCTGACAGAGTTGTTTTTTTGACAGACTCTCACTATGTAGTCCTGGCTGGCCTCAAACAAAGATCCTCCTGCCTCTGCCTCACCACTGCTAGGATCAAGGTGTGCACTACTACACCCAGCTATGCAATATGATTTTGAAGATTTCTTTTCAATGTACCTTCATAAACTGGGGGTCCTAGAGTATGGTGGCACATGCCCCTATTCCCAGCCCTTAGGGGCTGAGGCAGGAGACTGAGAGGGGATCTTGGGCTCCATAGTAAGACCCTGTCTCAAAAACTCAAAACACAAGGGGCTGGAGAGATGGCTCAGCAGCTAAAAGCACAGGCTGCTCTTGCAGAGGACCTGGGTTCGATTCCCAGCACCCACTTGGAGGCCAACAACTGTCAAGAACTCCAGTTCTAAGGGATCTGATGTCCTCTTCTGACCTCTGTGGGCATTGCATGACACAGGTGCACTTTATACATAGGCAATACACTCTCACACATAAAATAGAAAGTTTTTGTTTTTTTTTTTTTTTTTCAAATCAAAACATAAGAAGCTGAGTGGTTCTAGAATAGTATCAGGAGTTATTTATAAATGAAATTTTGTGTAGAAACTAAAATTCATAGCTGGGCGTGGTGATGCATTGCCGTAATCCCAGCAGAAGCAGGAGGATCTCTGAGTTCAAGGCCAACCAGGGTTACATGAGTCTCTCTCTCTTCCCCCTGCACCAAAAAACCCCACAAAACAACAACAAACAAACAAAAAAAATCCCCAAAAGACAAAAAACAAAACAAAACAAAAAAAACCCAACAACTAAAATTCAAATGAACCAGTAAACCGATAATTTTTGGGGGATAAGCAATACAAAGAAAGTAACCTATTCAGGCCTACCTTAGGGTTTAAAAAAATTAGTGACTTAAAAGTTTAAAAATGAGGGGCTGGAGAGATGGCTCAGTGGTTAAGAACACTGACTGTTCTTGCAGAAGACCTGGGTTCGAATCCCAGCACCTACATGGCAGCTGAAAACTGTCTATAACTCCAGTTCCAAGGGATCTGACAGTCTCTTCTGACCTCTGCGGGCATTGCACGACACGGGTGCACTCACCTACATGCAGGCAATACATACATACACATAAAATAAAAATAACAAATAAAATATTTTTTAAAAAAAGTTAAAAAAATGAATATACAGAGTCTGGCACCTAATTCAGTAGTCTTTGGCATGTGTGAAGCCTGGGTTCCATCCCAGTGTGTGGAGACATTTTAATGAGTTAGTATGCAGAGTTTTTATGGCTGCACTGCAAGTTCCTGGTCACACGCATTCTCTGGGGCACAGGCAAGGACAGTGCTTGCAGCACAATGCCACGACCAAGAACAGGGCAGAGAGGCTGGCTTGGTTATGATTTTAGCCAGGGGCCAAAGACAGATTCTTCCACACTCATATCATCTAAAAGGAAGGAACTTTGGAGGCAGCTAACTAAGCAAAGTCACCTGTTCCCCAGTGCCTAATGCTCATGTTTCTTGACCATCCTAAGCCTCATGCCTCAAAGATAGGCAAGGCCAAGTCGACTAAGCTAACATCTCATGTGACAGTCATCCACAGGCTCCATCTACAGAACCAGAGAGATGACAGGCTAACAGGCCACCAGAGAGTCCCAAATAATCATTGCTGGAGACAAATCATCAACTGTATTCTTTTTCTCTGTAAGTAAAAATGACACCACAAATTGGACCAGTTTTTTTTTGGGGGGGGGGTGTCATGAGGCATATTTGCTAAATAGTCCAATTAACAAGATTATTTAAAATATATTATTTTGCTGGGTATAGTGGTGCATGCCTTTAATTCCAGCACTTGGGAGGCAGAGGCGGTGGACCTCTGTGAGTTCGAGGCTAATCTGGGGTTCCTGGGGAGTTCCAGGCCAGCTGGAGCTACAGTGAGATCTTGTGTCCAAACAAACAAAAAAAAAATCTTAAAAATAAGGGTTCCCTTCTCCCCCCAAATAGGGAAAAGACAGATGATTTTTTCACTGAGTAGTATTAATGAAAGGGGCAGCTATCTGGGGAAAAAATGAACCCTGTTTCTCTCACCAAATAAGCTCCTTATTACAATGAAGTAATAAGAGAAATACAAAAACATGAGAGGTTTTTATGGCTCAGAATGGGGAAGGCCTTCTGAAGAGAAAAAGCCAGAAGCCATAAGAGATGGTAGCTTTTTGTTCTGTCTGTCTGTTTTAAACACAGAGTTTCACTGTGGAGTCCTGGTTGGCTAGAATTTGCTATGCAGACCAGGCTGGACTTGAACTCAGAAATTAACCTGCCTCTGTTTTCCAAGTGCTGGGATTAAAGGTACGTGTGTGCCACGATGCCTAGTGAGTCTCAGATTGGACCATAAAAACCTTGAGAACAAAAATACCCCCTTTCCCTCCCACTCACCCACCTCCTCACGTATGTGTGCTTACATGTGGGGCCAGAGGTTGACAGCAGGTGTCTTCCCCTCTCTCTTCACCTTATTGTTGAGACAGGCTCTTTCACTGGACCTGAAGCTCATCGACTGGCTACAGCGGGTGGGTCCTCAGGGCCTCATGTTTGCACAACAAGCATTTACTTTACCAACTGAGCCATCTCCTCAGTCCCTAGACAACCTACCACAGACCAAGGTTTCAGTGTAGAAGACGTAACATACCTCAAGGTGCACATTTGGCACAGCAGAGTTTAAATTTGGTGATGATGATCATGTTACTATGCTGAGGTTTTAGGAAGGAGGAAAACCTCCCACTTCCCATTAGAATGTGGCAGATTGCCATTGTATAGAGGAATAATTAGAAACTCAGAATAAAGGCAAAGACAAAGAGAAAAATTGAACATTTTTTTTAAAAAAAGCACAAAACCCCTACATACTAAAATTATACACATCAAGTATTGGTCCAATCTTATATCAATCTATTGACAATTAACAGCACCATGGTTTTCTCACCTAGGTTAAACATGCCCAGAGGATTGTTATTCAAAGTGTATGTTCCTTTAAAATAAAAACTCTTAAAGAGAGGTCAAACCCTCAACAAACAAAAAAGGCCTTTTACCAAACAGGTTATTGGTGACATCATCAAATTTCCTTAAGAAAAATATAGGTTTAAACACTTTTATCCAGTTGATAAACTTTGAGAGAAGCTGCTATTCACTGTGGCATACAAACTGATCAAAGCTTTTTGATGATGTGAGCAATACACTGAAACATCCTTGTACCTCCACATCCCAATACAAGCATTCTCCTTTGTTATTAATGCTGCTCACTTCTCTTGACTTTAGTCTCAATCGTCATCAAATCTAAATTAGATGTACCCATATTTAAAATGAACAAACAGAATTAGGGAAGTGGTTAAAAGTTCTCAGAAACATAGGTTACAATTATAGATATATTTAGACAAGCTATAGGAAACTTAGTATCACTTTAAACATTACATTTTCAGCTAATGAGGAGTTTCATTTTGCCACTAAAATGAATAGTAGTGTCTTACACCCCGACAGGTGTGGAAGTTTGGTATTTCCTGACTGAGACTAGCACAGTGCCTTTCTCACTGTGCTGTTCTCTCGGATTCGCTCGGATTCTCAGGGGTACTGTGTGGTCACGTGTCAGCCCCCTTCTCGTGGAACCAACTTTGAAGAGGCTCCAATCCCTGGCACATAATCCCTGGTAGCTTTCCTCAGCCTTCATATAGAAGATAAGGCTGGCTGGCTTACTGGGTTCCAGTCCCCTAGCCTAACATGCAGATGGTGACTAATCTGCCTCTCTGCTGTGAAGGTGAGGGGGGAGGACTGTCATTCACAATTAGAGTTGAGAGAAAAAGAAAGCACTCAGGTCTACGCAACGTGCCACTATTTGGTCTCACTATTGCTGTTTAAGTGATACCAGTGAACTTTTCACACTTGAAAATTTTGAGTTGGAATTTCCTCCAAGGCTGAAAACAGGCACAGTTTTCTCAGGAACAGACAGAACAAGTTTTCCTCATACCCTCTGCAAGGCAGGGAAGAGAGGACCACTTTCTTATCCTGGAAGGAACCAGCTGTACTCAGTTCCTGTGTTGTCTGACTCAGGAACTGTACAGGTGGGTCAGTTAGCTCTGAAAACATCCAAGCATAGTACATCAATCAGTGAAGGTAAGCCTGGATACAAAGACAGCTTTGCTCTAAGACATTCCAAAAAGACTGTGCAGCAAGAAGACAAGAGACTCCAACTGTGTACCAGCTGGAGCTCAGAGCTCTGACTGTACTTACTAAATTATTGCCTAGTGTTCCCGAAGGATGCCTGCCACCAATGTGCTGGAAGGCACCAGAATTTAGTGTGAGTGTGAACAGGAGCTCAACCTGGGGACGGGGAAAGCCACACTGGAACCCAGTTTCCAGTCTCTACTCCTTTATGGCTAAATATAAAGTAAGCGAAGAGTCAACATCCAAAATAGAAGCAAACCTCAGATACTGCTCTTCTTAGATTCCATTTTCAAAAAGCATAAGTTTTGTAACTGTTATTGATGGTTCTAGAAATTATGTAATTTGACCTGTTTTGGAAATTCTGTATCCAAAAGGTTCTTGGTGCTGTTCCTGATGGCTCAAATGTCCCACGTACACTCCAAATTATTTAACTATAACATCACATAGTTGTTGAATGTTTTAAAATAAATGATTATCTATTTCTTAACTGCCTCTCAAATTAGAAACTGTAATTACACGAGTCTCAGAGGCTGGCTCTTTGTGTTTTATTATTTTTGTTGGTCTCCATCACAGATGGAATTTTTCACTGGTAATTCCTCAGAACTAAATCCATTCATATAGGGAATTCAGAGCAGTGAAAATACATTTCACGCGCAGAGTAGTAAATGACAACAATGAAAAGGAACCAAGGGATCTGGGAAGAGGCAACAGGCCCAGCTCAGTTCTCGACAGGTGTTGGGTTTTGCAAAGGCTGGCTCACTATAACCTGTACCACATAGTCCTTTGGGATCTTCAGTTCCTCCAACTTCATTTTATCAGTGAGAGGTCTGCCAGAGAAGAACCAGCGCTGACTGCCTGGCTCCACACCTTCTGCAGCATGTAGCCGTCTCTTCATATGGAACACCGTGTCTGTGCTGCGCACCACAAGCTTGAGGTCTTTGCCCGTGGAAAGGCGTAGACGGAGCTGAGATTCATATCCAGAATCGGGTGGTGGCTCAGGAATATCCAGAGTCTCTATGTCAATCTTTTCTTCTATCATGTTGATTGGTGGAGCCAAGCAATAGACTGGCAGCTGGTATCTGTTCCCCAGCTCATCATAGCACTCTGTAAGTGCACCTTTAAAGAGAGGGAGATAGGAATGAATTCAATGCATGTACTTCTGTTCACAGCACACACTGCTTAGGCTGCTTTGCATACCACAGCAAACCACAAAATTATGCAAGGACTGTCACTGACCATCAATGACGATCAAGTCCCATGTTAAATTTGATGCTTATCTAGTGTAACAATAACCAGGACCCTGTCTCCTTCCCCAACTCTTCTAAGTCATTTGATATCTATCTAGTTCACAACAGTAAGACAGCAGGAAAGGAAAACACAAAATTCAAACTAATAGTATTAGTGGTTAGATAAAATTGAGGGGAAATTTCAGGAGCTGGAGAGAGGGACTCAGCAGTTAAGAGCACTGAATACTCTTGCAGAGGACCTGGGTTCCATTCCCAGCACCCATTTGGTGGCCTACAACCATCCATAACTCTAGTTTCAGAGGCCCTCTTCTACCTTCCATAGGCACTGCATGCACAAGCACATTTACACACATGCAGGCAAAATACTCAAACACATAAAATAAAAATTTAAAAAAAAAATTTTTTTTTTTGGTCTTTTTGAGACAGGGTCTCCCTGTTGCCCCAGCTGTCCTGAAACTCACTATGTAGTCCAGGCTGGCCTTGAACTCACAGAGATCTGCCTGCCTCTGCCTCCCAAGTGCTGGGATTAAAGGCGTGTGCTACCACCCTGGCTCAAAAATAAAAAATTTTAATCGAGGGAAAATTTCTATTACACTGGGATAATTTTTTTGTATTTTTAAATTGAATTTTTGTGATTTTCATACAACATAGTTTGATGAAATTCACATCCACTCTCCTCTCCCCCCCTCCCCCCCCCGGATTTAAAGAACTCTCATTCATATGCATATATTGATATATATACTAAAACCAGACAAAACTATTAGATGTCACCTCTTTTATAAAAAATATTCTATTATTTTTGTTTTATGTATGAGTATATTGCCTGCACACATGTAAATGTACCCATGTTGTGTAATGCCCGAGGAGGTCGGAAGAGGGTGTCAAATCCCCTAGAAGTGGAGTTCTGGACACTTGTTAGCTGCCATGTGGGTGCTGGGAATCAAACCTGGGTCCTCTGCAAGAACAGACAGTGCCCTTAACAGCTGAACCATCCCTCCAGCCCCTAGATGTCACCTCTTTTTTTCGGTCTTTTTTGAGACAGGTCTCCCTGCAGCCCCAGTTGGCCTTGAACTTACAGAGATTCACCTGCCTCTGCCTCCTGAGTGCTAGGATTAAGGGTGTGTGCCTCCATACCGGGTCTAGATGTCACCTCTTAATTACGGCAATCAGATATCACTAAAAATCCTAACTAATTCAGTAAGACAAGACAAAAATGTTCTTAGATCTAATAGTGCTTTTACATCAAGCTTACTGCACAAAACTTAACACCCCTCCCATATAGCAGCAACAACTTAAATTTGAAATTAAAAACATAATAGCATTTATATTAGCATACTCCAAATAAGACATTTAAGAAAATCATTTATTACTGTATTTTATATATAGGAGTGTATTGCCTGTATGTATGTAAGTGCACCTGTATCATACAAAGCCCTTGGAGGTCAGAAGGGGGCGTTGGATCTCCAAGAACTAGAGTTAGGGATGGCTGGTAGCCACCATGTGAGTGCTGGGAACTGACTGAACCCAGGTCCTCTGCAACAGCAATCAACGTCCTTAACTGCTGAGCCATCTCTCCAGCCCCCCAAATAAAGACATTTATATACAAATCTTAATATAAGTACGTATAGGGGCTGGGCGTGGTGGCACATGCCTTTAATCCCAGCACTCAGGAAGCAGAGGCAGAAGGATCTCTGTGAGTTCAAAGTCAGCCTGGTCTACATGTTCCAGGCCAGTTGGGGCTAGAGGGAGACCCTGTCTCAAAAAGACATGTTTAAAAAGGAAAAAAAAGTACAAGACCCAGAAGAAAATGACAAAATTTTGATATGATAAAGCAAATAATTAAATAGAAAGATAGTTCATGTTCATGGAGAAGATATTATTGAAATGTCAGTTTTTCCTTACTTAGTTTAAAAATTTAATGCCACTATAATCAAAATCCCAGTGAGTTATTTTGTGAATACTGGACAAATTTGTCTCTAAAGCCTACACAGAGACCTGAAAAATCCAAAACAATACTGAAATGAAAAATTATCTTACAAGGACTGACTTACTATAAATGTATGGTAATCAAGATAGTGTAGAGCTCTCAGAATGCTGAGGCAGGTGGATTGCCACAATTTCAAGGATACATACAGTTCAAGAATGAACTGTAGCCCAGGCTGTCTCAAAAACCCTAAAAACCAAAACACTCAAACAAACAACAAAAATGATTAATGGAACCAAGTCCAACGCCTAGAAATAGACTCACATGAATATGGTCAACTAATCTTTGTAAAAAAAGGAACTGGAGTATGAAGACAGTCTTCTCAACAAATGGTGCTAACGTAACTAGCTATCAAAGGATGAGTCTAAACAGAACTTACTCTCTTCATAAAAGTTAACTCAAATGGCTGGGCGTGGTGGCGCACACCTTTAATCTCAGCACTTGGGAGTCAGAGGCAGGTGGATCTCTGTGAGTTCAAGGCCAGCCTGGTCTACATAGTAAGTTCCAGGACAGCTGGGGCTACAGGGAGACCCTGTCTCAAAAAGACAAAAAAAAAAAAAAAAAAAAAAAAAAAAAAAAAAAAAAGTTAACTCAAAATATACCACACACCTAAATGTAAAACAAAAATGTGATTTGCTAGATACATCACTAAACAATCCATGCTATAATTTGTAAGTTGACATTCATTAGAATTAGAAAAATTTGTGCTCTGCTAAAGACACTGTCAAGAGAATAAAAGGACATCCACAGGGCTAGAGAGATGGCTCAGAAGCACCAACTACTCTTGCAGAGGACCTGGGTTTCATTCCCAGCACCTACATGGCAGCTAACAATCATCTGCAACTCTAGTTCCATGGGATCTGATACCTTCTTCTAGCTTCTGTGGGCATTGCACACATGATGCACTTATATACATGCAAACAAAACACTCATACACATAAAAATAATAAATAACCTATTTTTAATTTTATTTATTTAATTTAATTTTGGTCTTTTTGGGTCTCCCTGTAGCCCCAGCTGTCCTGGAACTCACTATGTAGACCAGGTTGGCCTTGAACTCACAGAGATCCGCCTGCCTTTGCCTCATGAGTGCTGGGATTAAAGGCGTGTGCCACCACACCCGCTTGTTATTTTTATTTTATGTGTATGACTGTTATGCTTGCATATAGGTAAGTGCACCTGTGTAGTGCAATGCCGGCTGGCAGAGGACAGAAGAGGTTGTCGGATCCCCTGGAACTGGAGTTACAGATAGTTGTGAGCTGCCATGTGGGTGCTGGGATTCGAACCCAGGTGTTCTGCAAGAACAGTCACTGTTCTTAACTACTGAGCTATCTCTCCAGGCCATAAATGTTTAAAAATAAAGATGTCTACAGACTTATCCAACAAAGACAGACCTCTCAAAACTCAATAACCAAAGGTAAATAGGTGGAAAGTAAGCATATGAAAAGATATTCTACACCATACCACCAATTAACTAATGAGATGTTACTATAAGAATCACCAAAATCCAGGCTGCTGACAACACCTCAAAGGCTGGTTATGATGCAGATCAGTAAGAAGGTCCCACTTGCTGTTGGTGGGAATACAAAATGGTACAGCTACTTTGGAAGACAGTTTGGCAACTTCCTTTTTGAGTCTTGGTTGACCAAAAACTTACTTGGTGGTCCAGGATGGCCTCAAACTTGATGATCCTCCTGCCTCTGCTGTTCAAGTGCTGGGTTATAGGTATACACTACCACACTCAAGCTTCCAGTTTGGCAATCTCTTACAAAACTAAAAACACTCTTGTTGATGATCTGGTCACTGGAGTTCTAAAACAAGTGAGAATTTGGATCCACAAAAAACTTTCCACATGAATATACAGAAGAAAGAAATTTTATTCATGACTGCCCAACTGTGGAAGCAAGCAAGTTATCATTCAATAGGTGAGTGGATACATTCTGATACACTCATAGACAATGGATTTCATTCAGCACTGAAATGAAAATGATCATGGCATGAAAAGACATGAGAAAAACTGCATAATACTAACTGAAAAAAGCCAGTTTGAAAGGGGCATACACCATGAATCCAAGCAATATGACATTCTGGAAAAGGCAGAACCACAAAGATATTAAAAAGATCAATGGTTGCCAGGTGATAGGATGGAGGGCAGAACGGACTAGTGAAAATACAGGATTTTTAAGACAATGAAACTACTTTATATGGTATTATTAATGGTGAACAGATGTCATAAGTTTGCACAAACCCACATGTGTACAATACCAAGAGCAATTTCTGCTATAAGCTTCGGATGCTAATGATGTGAAAATAAAAGTTCACCGATTTCAACAAATACACCACTCTGGAAGTGGATGCTGTTAATGGAGGAGGCTGGGGTGGGGGGCAGTGTATACCTTCTGTAAGCTCCCCAAAATGAGCTTATTAAAATATACATTCAAAGATCATGTATGGGGGCTAGAGAGATGGCTTAACGGTTAAGAGCACTGACTGCTCTTGTAGAGGATCTGGGTTCGAATCCCAGCACCCACATGGTGGTTAACAACCATCCCTAACTCCAGTTCCAGGGAATCCAAAGTCCTCTTCTGACCTGAGGGCACTGCCCAATATGGGTGCACTTCCATACATGCAGGCAATACACTCATATACATATTACAATTTAAAAAATCATGTATGTATATTTACAAAAAAAAAATCACAAAGTGATGACATGAAGTGAACCTGGAGAACAGAGGGGACTAATGACAAAAATGGCCTTATAGCTGGGTGTGGCAGCGCATGCCTTTAATCCCAGCACTCGGGAGGCAGAGGCAGGTGGATATTTGTGAGTTCAAGGCCAGCCTGGTCTACAGGGAGACTCTGTCTCAAAAAAGACCAAAAAAAAA